ATGGCCTTACTTCATATTGCACATTTTTCAGCAAAGGAACCATGTTTGATTTTCAAACACTAAAAAAACGATATGGATTGAATAACAGTGACTTTTTTAGATTTCTACAGGTACGCCATTACTTAAATAGTTCCCTACCAGACAGCCAGAAGGCCCTTGAAAACCCTTTTATTAGTAGTTTTCACCAGTGCATACATATCAGACACAGGGATGAAAGTAATCTCAAAACTTTACCAAGCTCTTCAAGATATTAAAAAGGAAAATACTTTCTATATAAAACACAAATGGGAAAACGAAACCAAAAAAACCATCCCTGACGAAGTCTGGACAAATTACTGTACTTTTCAATGGAAGATCTCGAGCTCAGGCACCTACAGAATGTTTAGTTGGAAGATGCTGAGCAGGTACTTTTTCAGCCCTGCTCAGTCATCACATCATCTAAGGCCCCCCAGCTGCTGGAGGAAATGTGGTTCTCAGCTAGCACATCACATCACATCACTACCATTTGTTTTGGGCTTGTCCTTTAATAGTAACTTTTTAGGAAAAGATTCATATCGAAATTGAAATAATACTACAGGAAAAAATCCCTTTAAACTGGGACGAATTTCTATTTGGGCTCGTACATTCAATCCCCTCAAACTCCAAAACAAAACAATTATTTGGAATTCTTACTGTTGCAGCAAAAAAAGCAATAACTACAAAATGGCTCAAAGCAGATATCCCTTCTCTTGACAACTGGTACGACAAAATCCATGAAATCTATGTTATGGAAAGAATCACCTTCTCAATGAGGCTTCAGGAAAACACATTTGAAGAAATATAGAAAAAGTGGAGGATTTACATATCCCAAAGACGACCATCCCTTGTTTGACTGTTTCTATACACCGATTGAATGTATATGTATAGATATGTATGTATGGTCACATGTATGTGTATTGAATGTATGTTGATATGTATGCATGTACATGTGTAGACATTTGCTATTTCAAACAACGCCTGTGTACTTTTTCGTTTTTATTTTACTTTGATTAATTTTGTTTGCTATTTCATTTGTCACTTTCGGGTCTCTAAAAATATAGGATTTGAAAAACTGTACTTGTACTATAATGTGACCCCAAATAAATAAAGAATAAAAAAATTTAAAAAAACAGACAATGTAATTTTCTGGATTTTTTTTTTCTCATTTTGTCTCTCATAGTTGAGGTATACCTAGGATGAAAATTACAGGCCTCTCTCATCTTTTTAAGTGGGAGAACTTGCACAATTGGTGGCAGACTAAATACTTTTTTGCCCCACTGTATAACCTTAATATCCACCCCCATGAGCACGTATACAATAAGAGACTGTGTGTGTTCCTCTGTGCAGAGCCCAACCCCCCCATAGATGAGGTCATTTCCACTGCAGGTGTTGTCAATCTTTTTGTGCAGTTCCTGAAGAGGAGTGAGAACTGCACTCTGCAGGTGAGAGCCACACAACACACCTGTAAATGAACGTCATGATTCTTCCTATTCCTCCCTAAATGTGTCCAGCCTGGTGTTTATGGGGGCACCATCTGTGTTTAGATATTTAGCTTGGCCATGTGACTAGGCACCGTGGAAGCGGTTTTTTTCAGTTACGAAGGATAACATCTGAATTCATCATTTTGAAGGATAAGATCACTGACTGAAACACCTTGCTGTAACTTTGAAGTAGTCCTCTCTTCCTCCCTCCTCCCTTTGCCCATCAGTAGATCAGCTGCTGCAGGAGCAGAGCTTGATGTGGGATTTCAGCCCGTCGAATAATATTATTAAGGATCACTAAATGTAATCTAGCATCTTTTAACATCTGATCACTCTACTGGAAGAAAACGTCCCTAACTTCTAAACTTCTCTGATTTAGCGCTGCTCGTTCAGAGTCTAGAAGCTGAGTGCAAGCAGGTTCAGCCGCCAGAGCAAAATTACCATGGCAACAAGAAGTCGTGTGTCTGTGGCAAGCACACATCAAGTCGTGTATAGCAGGCTTCAGTGTTTCCCCTAGGATGGAGTCATAGCAGCGGCGGGCCCAGCTAAATGTGAGCGCGGAGCACGTAGAACATTTTAGTGTGTGCGCGTGCGAAGTGCGCCAATATGTTTCTTTGGGTCTGCCAGCACAAGAACGGCTCAACACTCAGATGAAAGGGAGCTGTATACTTTTCAATAATCCAAACATCTTTAGAATACNTGTTACTAGGTTAGCGCATTCATTTGTTTTTTTGTTTTTTTTTTTTTGTTTTTTTTTTTTTTGTTTCTGTGAACTTGTTCATTCTTATCTTATGTTACCTAGTTAGCATTCTTTCTTTTTATTTATGCATATTTTACTAATCACTCCCCTTTTAAACATTGGAATGATTTCTTACTTTATTTTTTACAACTATATTGAATAGTTAAAGCGTGCTCTCTCTCGCTCTCTGTCTCGCTCGCTCACAGAGGCTGTGTGACCACGGATTATTATTTTAATGTATATTTGGTTGGTACCTGGCTGGGTAGTTCCACTAAAGTAGTCCAGCAGATGGTAGCAGCGGCGCAGAAACACTGGGCTTATAGCGGGCTCAAGAAGCTTTTTAAAGGTGTTTGGGGAATTTGGGCTCATTCAGAGTTAGTGTGAAGAAGGGCTGAATGACAGCATCTTTTTTTATTAAAATGATACATTTGTTTCCCTGTCACAAAAAAGGAAAAAGTAACAATTTAAGAAATAAACAGCAAATGGTATCCCTAACAAAAATAACTTACACCAGTAAAATGTATTCTGTGTAACGTCTCAGTGCCACTGACATACAATTTTGTATGACTAACATACAATTTTCTCCTCTATTGTGTGTGTGTTTCACAGTTTGAGGCGGCCTGGGCACTCACCAACATCGCCTCGGGGACCTTCCTGCACACTAAGGTGGTGATTGAAACAGGAGCGGTCCCCATCTTCATCGAGCTGCTCAACTCTGAGTACGAGGATGTCCAGGAACAGGTGAGAGCCCCCAAGGCAGCAACAAACCCTGCCAGAGCCCCAAACCGTGTTCCTGTTAGGAGTTCTGAACTTGTTCCTTGATTGATCCAGCACATCCCACCTGGATAACTGAAGCATGGTTTGTGTTTCAGGCGGTGTGGGCCTTGGGGAACATAGCTGGAGATAACGCTGAGTGCAGAGACTACGTGCTGGACTGTGGTATCCTGCCATTTCTACAACAGTAAGTGTTCCTCCTCTGTCTGGATGTGTTGAAACATCACTTCATCGCAACTGAAAACTGTGTTGTTGCCTTCAGGTTACTCGCAAAGTCCAACCGTCTTACAACGACTCGCAACGCAGTGTGGGCTCTGTCCAACCTCTGCCGGGGGAAGAACCCACCACCCGATTTTGCCAAAGTGAGTCTATTTTATAACTTGCAACCAACATTCCTTATTTCTGCTTGCAGCATTAATCATTGAGTTGTACATCCACTGGTATTATCTGTCCTGACTCTGCTGTGGTGTCTCTCCGTGTGGAGGTATCTCCCTGTCTCAAGGTGCTGTCCCGGCTGCTATTCAGCAGTGATCCAGATGTTCTGGCTGATGCCTGCTGGGCTCTGTCCTACCTGTCTGACGGACCCAATGAAAAGATCCAGACGGTCATCGACTCAGGGGTGTGCCGCAGATTGGTGGAGCTGCTCATGTAAGCAGGGTTGGGTGGGTTGCTTTAGAAATGTATTCTGTTAAAATGACTAGTTACCTGTAAATGTAACCAGTAACCTAATCTGAGTATCAGGTTTTTAATGGAGTGCATATGTAAGACAGCAGAACAATGTGACCTTAGAAAATGAGAAACCAAGATATTGGGTTAAAAATGTTTCCTCTGCTCAGAGATTTCTTTGATAGGAAAATCCCTATTGTAAGTCATTTAAAAGTAATCTGCTTTTTGTATGTAACTGTAAGGGAATACAGTTACCAGATTTTAAAATTCTGATAACGTATTCCTGTTACATGTAATCCATCACTCCTGAAGCCTGCATGTAATATACATATTGATGTAATAAAGTACATAGAGCTCCACCTAGTGGCCAAAATGAGTAGTTATGCCAATGTCCATGTGGCTGTAGGACAGGGGTGCCCACACCTTTTCGGCTTGTGAGCTACACTTAAAATGACCAGGTCAAAATGATATACCTGTATTAAAACATGCCAAATATATTTATTAATATATTGACTGAATATACTTTATATATCAGTGTGCGAAAAAGTACACGTCCCACCGTCCGGGACGTGTTATTTACAATATCGGACAAGTAGATCTTTCAATTGACTTGTCCGGCGGACAAGTGACGTTTTTCGCCCTGATTTATTGACAAATTATTGATAAATTCAGTTTACAAAAGGCAGAACTCATTCGCAAATTGTACGTGTCCACAATTGTTCGTTTATAAATGTTAGTTTCGGTTCTGCTTGTCGATTCCTAAGGAAATGCATCTCGCCGCTTTCTGTCCAGTTAGA